TTAATATTGTAACATTGAAAAAAAATATACAAATTTCATTATTAAGACATTTTATATTCTCTTAATCACTTTAAAGTTCAAGGATAAGAAAATAAATATGTTCATTTCAAAACAAAAGTACAGTTTTAACAAAAGGGCAAATAACAACTAATAACAATTTGGATGCTACATTAAATTACAAAAAGTGGCGTTAAACATGTAAACATGTATAATGCTGGTTTTCAAAGCACATGTTTTGGGGCAGTAGCCGTAGCATTTTTTTGTGAGGTATGGTGACCATATGCTTAGATTTGGCACTATGAACTACCTCTTTTTTTTCTCTTGGATGCTATGAGGATGTAATGGGGAACAAAAACAAGATATCCTTGCGGGTTCACCGAACAAAACCACTTTTTCAGGTTAATAAAGTGCCTGTGCCCCTGAGAAAGATGTTGTAATGCGAGGAGAGCATCTCATCTGCTCACTGGACTTCCTCTTTGGATTCATCACCAACTTCTCCCTGTGAAGGGAAACAAATGTTAGTATGTGTTATTAGGCCAGATGTCATTGTTGTGAATAAGTGCGTCGTCACTGTGACACTTACATTGCCTACATCCATGTTTCTGCTTATCCACGTGGAGTATTTTTCCTGTAGATACCGGGCACCTAAGCCCATCACGTAGGTCACTGGATGATAATGGATGCCAACAAGCTGACTGGTGGCTTCACAGACCAGAGCCACATTGACTTTCTTGTCTTTCTGCTCTGGAGGCACGTCTGGTGAGACACTTCCACAGAAAGCTTCCATCACTTTCATGAAGAAGCCGTATGTGAGCGAGGACTGCAGTGCTTCAAGCAAGACCATGTCTGCTTTAATCTGCCGCAGAGGTTCAGAGATAAGAGAAGAGATGTTGGTAAGTCTGTTTGTGATGTTGAGATGTTGTTTTTACTGTTTGTGACTCATTACATAATGTCTAAACTGTTTCAGGTCTAACATGAGCAAATTCTAGTTATTCAAGCATTTTTTGAATAACTACAGATTTGTTTTGTAGGCTAAAAATTAAGCATATCTTTCACAATAAGAACATTTAATAGTTTAAGAATGTTATAAGGATATTCAGGGTAGGGTTGGGCGATGTCTACCAAATTGGCATGGGATGATGTCTACAGTGAAACATCACGATGAATGATGACATGGGGGTGGGTTGAGGTCTGAAGTGCCCAATTTTTGTGACCGCGTGGACGGTCCGCGTACAACAGCACAGGCGCGAGGTGAATGCTGAGACAGAGCGAGTCAAGTAGACAATGACGAAGGAAAATGTTATCTATATTTTCACAAAAAAAGTTAATTGAAACTTTAAAGTAGACACTTTACTTGCATTTAATATGCTTTCTGTTTATATAAAATCACTTTTGTGAATTTAATTTGATGCAGACTCAAATGCAACATCTCGTCTTAAATTACATTACACTGAATTAAATTAAATTCAATTACACTGAATATCCTTACAGTATAATAATGTAATAAAATAAAATATTCTTTTTATGGTTTGTTGTTGCCCTGGGACACATTCTAATGTACGGGGGAATTAAACCATTACAGTATAATAACTGTATATAACTATTACATATGTATGTATATATTTACACACACACTACAATACTACAATATACTAAATGTTCAAATGTGCATTTGAATTTCTCTTAATGCGTCTCAGACTTTTGGACTGGGATAGAAACGGTGTCTGCAGAGACACCTGGTGGTCAAGATCAAATGCCATCACAAGAGCTCAATTCACTGACCTTTTCATTCAGTTCATCACCTTGTTCTCTAAGGAGCTCGGCTAGCTTTCTCGCAACATCTGCCGAGAGAACAGAAATGAGCAGTTCAGATGGAACTAAACACATCTGAATGAAGGGACTCGGTGACAGCTAATATTGCGAAATCTGAGCGTGAAATCAAATGGGAAGAATGAGCTCTTACCAGACTCCTCGTCTTCTGCCCCGTCTGGTTCTATTTCACAGGGAGTGAAGTGCACAGAGTCTGATAGCTCTGTCAGCTCACTGACCATGTTCTCTATCTTCTTCACTTTCCCATCGCCTGAAACCGACGGAAGCAAATCAGACGCTGGAATCTCTACAATCTCACTTCCTCAATAGGGAATGTTTTAAAAAACACTTAGCAGCCACACATTAAGATTAATATTTCACACTTACTGAAAATTGTTGCCGGCTCTCGTACATCATCTGTCTGTGGTTTAATACACTTTAAGAGAGACGACAGTCTCTTCTTTCTTTTATTTTTCTTTGGTTTGCCATGTTCTTCAGGCAGCTGTGGTGAAGACGGGACATTCTGTGGCAGACGGGTGTCGGTGGGTCGTCTCTTGCGGGTGTATGCCATCAGGAGTTTGAACTCCAGACTGTCCGCCGCAGGCGTCCGGACATCACCGTTACTGTGCTGCTGATCCCTGCTCACATATGCAAACACCTCATTAAAACACTTGGTTTGTGCAACTTAAACTGTAGAAGTGCATTCAGTGTTTCTTTCATTTACTAAACTGAATTAATAATTGTAATCCACCACATCAAACAGATTTTTCTAGGCTACTGATATGCCTGGAGTCTTCAGCTCATATGAATATACATCATTTTACATTCCTATTCATTTATTTCTGTGTAAAACTTTTTAATGAGGAAATATTACAATAAATACATTTTTTGTAAAGTTTAATTTGTATTTAACTTAATAGTTCAAGAACATTAGAATATTATAAGGATATTCAGTGCATCATTTAAAAAACAAATAACATATATATAAAATTATATACATATATATAAATAAATGAATGTGGAGCATTTTTCCCATTCATCTCATATATATATATATATATATATATAAAATATTATATGCACAATGTAAACATAAAAAAAATATAT